TTTTCCCACTCCCTAATTTCAGTTTCCTTAATGGTCCGAACCTTTCCTAAAAATGTTCCTAATTCTTTCATAAATTTAGACCTTTTACCAGCTAAAATGTTTTGGGCGAGCGTTACGTTTGCCCCATAGTTCATAGCTGGGCGATTTTCTGTTTATTTCTTGGCTTGTTGGGTGTGAACGAAGGTCCTTGTGCAATATTCTATTTGAAATGAGCGTTGGCATGTAGAAGGCTGAAGAGATTTCATCCTTTGAATCTGCTAATGAAATTGAACTGTGAAAAATTAATAAAATCAAACTTCTGAGGTGATAACAATACATTATTTTTAAATGCCCTTTTACTATGCGTTTTAGTTAAATATTGAGTAAGTGATATATCATTGGTAGATTTTAGGGGTAATAGACAAATATTTCCCTATTATCTGAAATAGTGTACTGTGTAGTAGATTGTTATTCTTAGAAAGGTAATTCTAAGATCGAAGGACATTGCAATCGTCAGCAGATTGATGGTTAAGGTGTGTAGAGCCAAAGTGCACCGGACATTACAGTTTATATACAGGATGATTCAGTCCTCATTGCTTCTACAGGACCCGGAAATAGAGTACACAAAGTTACTCAGGTTTGTAAAAATATTGTGTGAAACATTCCAAATTTTGAAACAAATTGTCATTGGTCAGTTTTTGCATAAAAGTAGCCCAAATATTGCATTAAATGTTGGTCCTTGTTGATATTATTACCTACGTATCTAACGAATGTAAAAGGAGAGAAAAATCTTGAAGTGATATATAAGGTATTTTATTATTTGTGTGTGCAGCCAAAATTTCGCATTTTCATCTCGAGAAATAAGGGCGTTGAAAATGACCTCCTCTTGCGTGAACGCAAGATAAGCGACTGTTCCTCACGGCCTCTGTGAGGCACACAGCTACACCGGTTGTCTTTTAATTTCTGCTGCCTCGCTTTCAGTGCACGGACGAAGGCTGTAGTGACCCACGAATTCGGTGTCGTAAACGCGGTCTTTCATTAACGCTGAGAGAAACAAGTTCTGAGGGTACAAACCCGGAGACAGAGACGGCCAGGCTACTGAACCTCTTCGTCCGATCCACCTATCTGGAAATTGCTTTCTATGCCCGAACTTCACGATAATTATCTGGGGCTGCGCCATCTCGCTGGAACCACAACTGTGCCCGTGCATTCAACCCGACATCTATAAAAGCGTAGGGAGTATCTGAGATATAAAATTCAGATTTTGAATGCCTCTCGAACGCTCCGGTAAGATGGGAGCTCCTATAATAAATTCATCCACAATATCAACCCACGCAAGTGAACATTTGATTCATTTTGTTTCCTATTACTTTCTGAATGTGCGAGTTGCTTTTAAATTTCACGAATAATGTTCTTAGCTATTGTTAGAATTTTCCTTCACACATTCTGATACAAACAATCATGATTATGCATCTTTGTCGAGAAAAATCGTTCGAAAATGCGACGCATAGCGAGTAGACGAAAGCGGGCCGCCGCGGGCCGACGAAAGCGTGCAGCAGCGGTGCAGGCACTGAGGTCGCGTTCTCCTACTAGCGGAGTGTCTGTGATTCGGTCTCTGGAAAGAGCAGGCGGTTCGGCCGGCTCGTAGAAGCTGCGGTGATATCGACGCACTTGTGCACACGTTGTTCTGCTCGCGGTTCACGGTCAATAAGCTCACGCTTTTTGTTCAGCTATCTTTCGCTCTTCACTTGGTGAATTCTTTGAAAAGTTCGTAGTGTTCTCTGCTTTGTATTGCATTAGCGCGCAGTGAACAGCTCATGCAATGCTTTTACAGTTCGGATCAACTACTGCGTGAGTAACTTCAGCCACAACAAATGTCCAACATTTAACGGTCCAACATTAATGGCCTCTTTTAACGGTTTTCGCTATAAACGACAGAAGACACACGCTGCAAAGTCTGCAGAACGCCCTCGTGCAGAGTTTGCTTGATCTTCACAGATCAATAGCTCTCCAACGACCGTCCTCTTCTTCCGGAGAGATGGGATCTTGTATTGGCAGTTTCCTTGGTGTTCTTGGCATTAGCCAATGGAGATCTAATACTTCTTTCTTTGTTATATTTTCGTGGTTGGTTAGGGCTGAGCGCGCGTGATTAACTTGATCCGAGCGACTGTGTCACCGCTCGCATGCCGGTTTCAAACGAGAACACGCGCGGCGACACCTTCCTTTTCTAGATTTCATGTTCTAAAAAAACACTCTGATATGAGGCCTGGACTAAAGTTCATCTGAACATTATATTGTGTATTACGAATATTTTACGTATATTGTACTTTATATATTTTTGTTAACTGCCACTGAGTGTACGCTCATTTGCAGTAATTTATTATTATTATTATTATTATTATTATTATTATTATTATTATTATTATTATTATTATTATTTCAACGTAAAATGCTGTTTGATTGAGTGTTTAGATACTTTGTCCTGGTATTTTGAAATAAATCTACGGAGAATTTTCGATGTTGGACTTAGCGGCGGAACCCCACCGTTTGATTCGAAGTGCAAAGTAGGAGTTTTACACTGAGCAAATTGTCTTATAGAAAAATGCTTTGTTTTGCACACCATTGTGAAAGGCGGTTGATCAATCATACGATCTGAGATTGTAGAGATGCTGTTCTTCCTGATTAGGAATGACACTTTTTCCAAAATTTCAGACGTAAATGTGAAATGAATTCCAATTCCGCTATGAAATTCTGAATGTAGAAAATAACATATTTTTTTTCGATGTTCTAATACTGTAACTGACGAGACGATGTCCAGTCCGCGGCACAAATGTCTTCGCCAAGGTGACATCACCTCTGTCTTCAGCGGATGGCCGCGGCATTTCATTTCCACTTCCACCAGAGTCGGGTCCATCGGTTCGTCAGGAGGCACCAACGAAGTAGCCTCTACCCCAAAACTCTTCCTCCCGTTTCACCCAAACACAGTGTTGAAAGCAAAACGCTACATACGAGCATATACCCTCCTCCGACACGGCTCATTCTTCTTAATACGTATTTCTCTACGAGTAAAAACGTCACTTTTAACACTAGTGCCAAAAACTGAACTTTTTTCACGCCCCCACTTACGCACTTGGGGCGCACTTGCGCATGTGGGGCACGCTTTGCATGCCCGACAAGTAAAAGCGTTTACTAGTGGCTATCTAAAAGCAAATTAAAGAAAAACATTTAGGCCATTTTTAAGAAAATATGTAGGGAATTCATACAAAGAACATCGAAACATCAAATTATCCGTTTTAAATTAGAGGGAGCGCAACATCAGCTAGACAGAGTGCAGAATGTCAATTGTGGTGAAAGTCTCGTGTGGTGTGGGACGAACGGACCGACGGATAGTCGCTTTGCAGAAAAGCAATGTGTTGAACACACAAAACGTAGGGGCTGACTGTACTACCTATTCAACAAAGTAATTAATTACATATTGAATATGCAAGTAAAATTAACTCAGTATCAGAAAACGAGACTTTCTCTGCAGAATTGCAATACTTTTAAATACGTATGAAAGAAAATAAACAACAGAATTGGAAAATCTTAAATCCAGTAATTAAATTAATATTAAATTGTGAAAGGGTATTGTATTCGATCAAATACTGACACAATGTGACTATCTCAGTGCAAATATTGAACTTGAGCTATTGTAAAAATAAAGTAACTGCAGCTTTTAGGAAACGATGATTTAATAAGACCTGAGCTTTTCCTCCTTTGATATTTTCTCCCATACAAAATGGAATCATATTAGATGAAAAACTAAAACTTGTAATTCCATTACAGCTTCAGTTAATATTTTTATTAGCACCGAAAACTTACCTGACTTGATTATTTTTTTACGCAACCAATGCGTGTGAATGAAAGTATATCTATTAA